CAGAATGGAGATGTGCAATCGGAGTTTTATATGATAATAGCATACCAATGATGCTGAAGGGGGAGTTGCATCGGACAATTATGGTACCAGCTTTGCTTTATGGGGTGGAATGTTGAACGGTCAATAAACAACATAGCAATAAGATGAGTATAGTTGAGATGAGAATGTTAAGATGGATGAGTGGCAAAACAAGAAGGTATTGAATTCGAAATGAGTACATTAAGAAGAACTTAGGTGTGGCTCCAATAGGTGATAAGATGAGAGAAAGTAGACGTAGGTGTGCTGACCATGTGCAACATAGATCCAGTAGAGCACCTGTTAGGAGGTGTTAGTTGGTTCAAGTGGAAGGCTAAAAAAAAGCAAGGGTAAGCCCTAAAAGGACATGGTTAGAAGTAATGAGAAAATGTATGAGGACTTACGGCCTCATTGAGGGTATGGCCCTTGATAGAGCAGAATGGCGGATCAGGATTCGAGTAGCGGACCCCAAATAGTTGAGAAAAGGCTCTGACGATGAATCATTACATCAGAGCCTTTTTTAAACTAATTGGGGTCGGCTACTCGAATCCCAGTTCACCATTCTTGATAGAGGAGAATGGTGGACCATGATTTGAGTAGCCGACCCCAATTAGTTGGAAAAAAGCTCTTATAATGAATCATCATCATAGCATTTTCCCATCATTATCAAAGTCTTTTCCCAACTAATTAGGGTCAGCTACTCGAGTCTCGGTCTATCATTATGCTCTATCAATGGCCATACCCTCAGTGAGGCCATAAGTATCGATATCTTGTTTAACTACTTCCAACTATTGCCTTCTAGGGTCTTATCCCTTACCTTTTTTGAGCCTTCCATTTGGACCAACTTGCACCTCCTAACAGGTGTTGTACTAGATTTTCACTGCACATGGCCAACCTACCTAAGTCTACTTTCTCTCATCTTATCACCTATTGGAGTCACATTTTTTAGCCTTCCATTTGGACCAACTTGCACCTCCTAACAGGTGTTGTATTAGATTTTCACTGCACATGGCCAACCCACTTAAGTCTACTTTCTCTCATCTTATCACCTATTGGAGTCACACTAAGTTCTCCCGAATGCATTCATTTCGAATTCTATCCCTTTTTGTCTTGCCACTCATTCATCTCAACATCCTCATCTCAACTACACTCATCTTATAGGTATGTTGTTTCTTGACTGCCCAATATTCTACTCCATAAATCAAAGCTGGTCTCATAGCTGTCTTATACAACTTGTCTTTCAGCTTTATTGGTATGCAACAATCACATAAAACTCCAGTTGTATATCTCCACTTCGCCCATCCAACTCTAATTCTATGTGCAACATCTTCCTCAATCTTTCTATTTTCTTGGATTATTGACCCAAGATATCGAAAGTGTGCTCTTTTTGGCTTTCTTGACAGTCAATCTTAACTATTTCCTCGTCTTTACTCTTATTATTACTAAACATGTTTTAGTATACTCATTCTTAGTCCAGCTATTGTAAAACCTTTAGATTCTAGAGCATCCCTCCAAAGTTCTCACTTTGTATTAATGCTATTTTGGTCTCATCAATCAAAACTATATTGTCTGCTAGCAACATACACGACGGTACCTCATCTTAGGTGCTTAGTTAAGTCGTCCATAACTAATACAAAGATGTATGAGTTAAATGCTGACCCCGGATGTAGACCTATTGTCACTAAGAACTCTCTCGTCTCTCCACTAGCTGTTTGCATACTAGTAAACACTCCTCGTATATATCTCTCACCAAGTTGATGGACTGTTTGGAGACTCCTTTCTTTTCTAACACCCACCAAATCAAATTTCAAGGTACTGAATTATAAGCTTTCTTTAGAACAATAAAGTCCATGTGAAGGTCTTTTCACTTCGCTCTAAACTTCTTAATCGGTTGCCTAAGTAGGAAAATAGCCTCAGTTATTGATCTCCTTAGTATAAAACCAAATTGGTTTTTTCATATCCTCGTTTCATGTATTAGTCGTTGCTCAGTCACTCTCTCCTAGAGCTTCATAGTGTGGCTCATAATTTTTTTGCTTTCTTGTTTTTATTGAATTTTTATGATAATTATTTTTATTTAATTTTCAGATTGCGTATCTAGATAGGGATCATTGGGTGGGTGATCCACTCTATTGATCCAAAATATTGACGAGAATTATTACTTTGCTGCATGGGTATTAAATTGTTTTACACTTCATGTTTAGCTAGTTATTATTTCCAAATGAAGATGATGTTTTTAAGGGTTGTATATTTCACACTTAAATGCCTTAAAACTCCTAGCAAAAAAGTTATTCTTTTCCCTTGTAGTTTCTAATATTATCTCACGGGTCGTATAGAGATGGACTTCACTTTAATGGACCTTGGTGGATCTTGTGACTTTGAGATTCAAAGTGTTTTGACTTTATTTTGATTGATCTGCGTAGATCTTTTCTATTTTGGCAGATCCTTTTCTCGCATTGGGTTACCAATCACTCTTCTTCTAGTTCATCATCATCATCGTCATAGCCTTTTCCCAACTAATTGGGGTGGGCTACACGAATCCTAGTCTTCCGTTCTACTCTATTAAGGGTCACACCCTTGGTGAGGCCATTATATCTTTTCTCACTACTTCCAACCTATCCTTTTGGGTCTACTTCTTGTCCTTTTTGAGCCATCACCCAACTATTTGGGGCCATGAGTCCCCATGTTTGCTTTGAAGAATATGACTAGAATTGAAGACTCTAGACTTTGTAGGTTATGCAATAGTGATTGCACTTGTGTATACCAAATATTTATTGTTTATATCATCATTATTTGAGCCTTATCCCAACTATTTGGGGTCGGCTAAATATTAACTTTTTATATGCATACGCGAAATTGTCTTAAACTCAACTTCAATATTTAGCTGAGTTATTATACCCATATGTAGATATATCCATCAACTAGGTGTGCTATTTCACACCAAGGTTTTAGAAAATGGACCGGTGGATTGTCCACCCAGATAATCGGGTCGGATCGGTTGGTTGGAGAATGGGCCTGATCGACCAGATATAGCTTTAAAAACAATTTCAAAAAATCACTAAAAATAAATAATTCTTTTGGGTTTTCAAGAAAAAATAGGGTAATGCATTATGGATTTTCATTATCTTATAAAAATTAGTGAATGTTGAGATGCAGTTTCCTGTTAGCATGCCTGTGGATCAACATCCCAACCGTGTTTCCGGCCATTATTCTGGGTGTTTTCTCTCTCTAGAGATGGTGGGGGACGAAATGTTAATTTTGAGATGGGTCTATGCTCTTAGCTCTTATGATCTCAGTTTTTTTGTATTTGATGTTGTTTATGATGTGATGAGAGAAAAATTGATGTTTGGAGGTGGGTATTTTAAAACAAAAACCAACAGGATTAACAATCATTATTTTCAAAATGTCAGAAAAAAACGGCTCCTATTTAGAGCAAAATGCTGATTTTTACATAAAATTATAGATTTTTCAATTATTTTCCCATGACTCTCATGGCTATTTTCTTTTTTTTTCTATTTTGTCATTTTCCCCCTTTTTCAATTATTCTCCCATGAAATTTAATACATTTAATTTGAATTTCGAAGTTATGATCATGTAGATATTTTTGGTGGGGACCATAACATGGTAAGCAGAAATTAGAATACTAGGAGACATACGAAAATGAATCAAATGAGACTTAAAAATAGCAATGTAAAAACTCCCAAATAAAAGGGGGCCATAACTCATTGGCAGCATATCAAGCCCGCCCAAAATAAAACGGTGCCATAATCCTTGTTTTAAAGATGTATGAAGACGAGAAGGGAGATGAAAAATATATTTAATGGGATATTTTAGGCGATGAGATATTGGGAGAGAGAGAAGAAAACGATTGTGCCACATTGGGTATGTCGTTGAGTCCACCATGCGGAAAACATTATAAAAGATACAAGTAGAGGCCCACCGTGAATAAGTTGGTTGCCCATGTGATGGAGATGGGTGGGCCATTATAGCATATTAAATAATAGAAATGCCATTAAGTTGGTTGTCCATGTGATGTGGATATGAGTGGGCCATAGTAACTTGTTAAAAAATTGACTTGTCTTAAAAATATGTTTTGATAGCCCCATCCCAAATAGAAGGATTGGGTCAATTTAAAAGAAAAAAAAGTTATTATCAAGGTGGGAACCGGGCGACCCAGCTGGTTCCTTTGAGGGTATCGCCGATTCCATTCACTATAGGGAATTGCCGACTCTCTGGGAAAAATGGCTGGTTCTCGATGTAGTGTAGAAACAGGTTTTCCATTGATGATTCTTGATCTGGATTGGTCTATTCTGACCCGGATCGATGATTTTTTAAACAGTGGTTCACACTACAGGCCTTAGAAATGCCATGAAGGAATCTTTTATCCTCTGGATTTTTTACTGCTGTATTTGAAGAAGATTCCTAGGGGCCCGTCATTTGGTGTGATGGTAAAAAGCTCGGGTCGCCAGGGCAAGAGTGTGGATTCGAGTCCTGAGAGCAGCCACTTTGTGCATAAAAAGCTAAAGGTTAGGACCGTTTCCAGCTCACCCCTTCTGAGACCCTGTGTAGGCAGAACCAGCACCAGGTTACAGCCCTCTTTTATTTGAGGAAGATTCCTCCTCACCCCTTTTCCCTTATGTTAGTTTGCGGGCTATGATTCACTCGTAGAGTAGAATGCGTTCCAAAATTTGGTGCCATTGAAAGCATGGTCTTGGGAAACATCTATGTGGAATGAAACATTGTCATAGTGAAACAGTTATCATGATTATCATGATATACTGATATACATTCAGTTCACCAAAAGTGGATTGAGGCCAGGTTCTTTTCATTATTGTTTTCTTCATTTATTTAGGTTTAGTATTTATACGACTTTCACACTTAAGATGCCGAAAATTTTGGTCATGAATGAATTTATACAATGGCAATAAAATAGTTTTATGAGGGAGTTTGTGAAGGGATGTGAGGTGCTTCATTTGACCCTTTTTCAGATATCTGAGCATGAATATGGAGAAGAAGGAGAGGATATGGATTTTGGAGCACTTCAGCAAGGATATGTGAGTTTTCATTCATGATACTTTTAAAGTAAATCTATCAAAAGTGGACGAGAAAAATTCTGACCTAGTACCTGGAATATCTGCCTATTCCTGAAGGAGCTTTAAGAAACTTGAAATTTCCGTGGAGTTGGGATATGTCATATATTAAAAAAGTGAGTATTTTACCACCAGTTGGACGTCAAAATATTCCTAAAAATATTGAACTGGGGGTAAAATAATCATTTCTAAAATGACTAGTCCAGGCACTGTTTTAAAATTCCAAGTATCTCAAGAACCTGCCTGACTTTTACAGATATTATGGTGCTTGATTTGATACATTCCCCAATAAGTGCATTGAAAAAGTAAAATTTTCCTTCCATGATTTAACCACCTTGATATTGTTATGATTTTATTTCAGATTACAATTACCCCACTTGGTGCGCTTTCTCGTGAGGAGATGGGCGTCCAGATGTATTTCAAGGATTGGTTGCTTCGCATGCCTGAGCTCTCGACAGCTTCCTCCTTGTAAAATGGTCAGTTCCATATTATTGCCACTTTTCTACAACTGACATTCAATATACTTGCAATTGTTTCCTTACATTTGACTAAGTTGGTTTTAGAATACCCTTTACATTTGTTTTTTTGTTACCTTTTTGTTTTCATTTTTCTATGGGTAGGTTAGCAAGGGGACTCAGACCAGTTTGTGGTGTTGCAATTGTTCACTTTCTAAAAAACAAGCTCAGTGTCTTGCATTGTTTCTCATCCCTTTCTTATGACTTCGTTCTCTTGGTTGCTGGTACTAAATTACCAAGAGAACAATATATATGGACATCCAGTTGCAAGTTCTTGCAGGAAATATTATTGAATGAAGGCTCGGTTGATTGATGAGAACTCTCTTTCATCACTGATTACTTTGTTTTTCAAACAAGCAAGCCATGTATAAAAATAATTAACACATTTGAAATTGGAGGCAGGGAGTTGTTAGGGAGTAGCTGTGGCTTCTATGTGACCCAGCCGATCCGTATACCTCAAAACTAAGCTAAAAGTGAAAATGAAGCTAAACCTTATTGATAGTGAGATTTCTTAAGTAAAGAAGCAACATGTGAAGTGACTTGGTTTTGATCTAGAAAGAAATTAAGATGGTCTGGAATTTCTGAAGAATCAAACTATGCTCCCTTACCAAGTCAAACAAATTGAAAATCACAACAAAATCAAAGTAGAAGAAAACATGAATAAGTGGAATGTCCTTAAATTTTGATAACTTGACATTGCTGATGTTTTCTTTTGTAGGTTTTCAATCCGGAGGAAACCAGTCACTTATACTATTGGCTTATCTTTTACAACAAAAAAGGCAAAAAGGTGCTGATAATTACTTATGGGACAATTTGGTTAAAGTGCCAGGCTGGCAGATTTGAGCTTAGTGAGACTGGATTCTGAGTCTCCTGCTAATTGGCTGCTTCCATTGAAAAGGTGTGATCCACCATTTAGACCTGTGTTTTAGGTTCAATATCCATCAATAGGCTTCAGATGGAATCTCACATGGGATAATGATTACATCACTTTGTGATCAAAAACATATTTTTAAGATTATTCTCAATATTTCTCATTGAAACAATGGCTATTTGATATAGAATAAACATTTTGTTTGATGAAATAGGTAAGATAAGATATGTTTCGAATGACTCGTTACAAATAATACAATGTTCAGAAATAGGCTTGTAACTCTTAAAATATATAGCTTGTAATCTTACTCTTGATCCTGCATTATATTTCTGTTGTTGAAACCAACAAATGGGCTTTCTGGAGGATTGATGTGATATACTGCTATTCCCCACATTTTTCTTGTCTCAAGATCACAAACTCACTGCATATGTTATAAGAAAGAAATGGGCTTTCTGTAGTATTGATGTGCTATACTGCTATTCCCCACATTTTTCTCGTCTCAAGATCACAAACTCACTGCATATGTTATAAGAAAGAATAAATTTGCATGCTTCAGTAGGATAAGGTACACTTTCGTGTGGGAGAGAGAGAGAGAGAGAGAGAGAGAGAGAGAGAGAGAGAGAGAGAGAGAGAGT